TTTTGTCAAGCTGGCACCTAAAAATGCAATAAAGCAGTTTTTAATAATAAAACAATATTACAATGATATTTTTGTTTAGTGAAAAAGAAAAAAAATAAACTGTAGGACTTTGCTGTTTAACAGTATTTAGCAGTTCTCTTTCTTTGTTGACGCTCCTTAGTACTTCTTCATTCGTTTTCCTTGCTGTCCAAGGTATCTTTAGCACTCGTCTATGAACCCATATTTCCAATGCTTTAATTTTGTTCATGATCAATACTTTTAGCGTCCACACTTCTGCACTATTCAAAATTACGGACCAAACATAGCACTTAACCATTCTTTGCCTTAGTTCTAAACAGATAATTATTGCAAAGAAATGACTTCATTTTCATAAAAATAGTTTTATAGTCATTGCCATTTTGCGTTTTATGTCTATGTCTGGATCTAGTTAGTCCGTTATCACAATTCCCAAATATGTCATTTTGTGAACTTTCTCAACTTGGACTCCTTTTAATTGAAGCTTTGCATCGGGATGTGGGTCACGACTAAACACTAAAAATTTTAATGACCATTTCCTCTCCTACCTCGTGAATACGATCAAGCAGAATTTGAAGATCTTCAATAGTATCTGATAGAATTACTGTATCGTCTGCCTATCTAATCACATTAAGTAGTTTTCCGTTAATTTTTATTCCATATAGTTGTCTTTCAAGTGCCTTTTTAAATAACTGGTCCGAGTGAATATTGAACAATGTTGGCGACAAAATGCAAGCTTGTCTGACTCCTCGTTGTATAGAGATTTCATCGGTGTAGTTATCCCCAATTTTTACGATAGCAGTTTGATTCCAGTACAAATTTTTATTGACACGAATATCCTTGTCATCTATTCCGATATTTTTCAGTATTTGCATTAATTTTACATGCTGCACTTTATCGAATGCCTTTTCGAAAACCACGAAACATGCAAATACATTTTTGTAATAAGATGTTAAGCGCAAAAACTGCTTCCCTGGTTCCCATAGCACTTCTAAAACCAAATTATTTACCCTTAAGATCGTCTTCACATTTGCGTCTAATTCTGATGTGAAGTATTTTGAGCAAAATTTTAAGAGTGTTGCTCATTAGGCTAATTAATCGATATTTTGAGCATTTTCTCGTATTGTGTATTTAAAGTACTGCTACAAAGTGGATGTGAGCCAATCTGCGGGAATCACTTCGGTGTTTTATATTAAACTAAAAAGTCTTACTACTACTTTTATGTTATCATTCTCTTATAATTTCAGCAACTCAGTTGGTGTATCATCTAGACCACAAGCTTTTCTAATTTTAGCAATATTTATGTGTTCTACCTCACATTTCATAATTTCTGGGCCGTCAGTACAGTTTTGGTAGAATTCGGCAATATGATTCTTGTTATCTTTAAACAACTCTGATATACAGGGTGGTCCTTAAGTAATGATACAAAAAGAAACCGTAGATTTTATACTTTAAAATATTACGATCTAAGCCAACTTGCTTTATTAAAATGTTGGTATTAAGAAAGATACAGGGTGTTAAAGTGGAAATTAAAAATTTTAATTTTCGCTATAACTTTCATGTTTGTGAACATTTTTGTATAAAAATCCATAACTAAATACTATTGAACATCAGAAATTATAATTTCATGCATATTTTAATGTAGGTGGTAGAGGGCGTCACATATGCCACATATGTGGCATACATTTACACTTAACTTTTTTGCTATTTAAGTTACCGGTGTTTTGTGATAAAAAATATTAAAAAAACAGTATTTTAACAAAAAAGGTATACTTGTTAATAACTAACTTGTTTACAAATCAACTACATAATTCTCACTTAACGCAATTAATCCAGACAACGAAAGAAAATTAGACAAAAACATCAATACTTCTGAATTTTGGTAGAAAATGACTTTAATAAAGTTAATAGTTAACGAAATATTAAAATAAAATAAAGAATTCAGCAGGATAGTATATAATAACAGAATAATTGGATTTTACACCAAACAAATAGTATCTTTAGTTCTACAGAAACTGATACAGTATTTATTATAAGTATTATAAGTATAATACTAAGTATTCTTCTGGGATTTATGCGTTTAATATCTCACCACATGACCAAGGAATACGACTACCACGAAGAATCCAACGTTCAGGAAAGTTGTATTTAAGTATGTTCTCACTGCCCTCTCTCTATAATATGGTGGTGTACCATCTTGTATAAACCACATATTTCGCTGTAAGTTTGATGACCATTCTTCCAATAAATTAATAAAATCATTTTATAAAAATTGTAAATAAATCACACCATTCAAATTACAAGGTTATTCGCAAGTCCGTAAAAAATAATTACCAATGGTTCCAAACCATACGTTAATTTCAAATTTATGTTTAAAATGCATATCGTATGGTTTGGTACCATTTGTAACGGTTACGGACATGCCAATTACCTTTTAATCTAAATGGTGAGATTTATTTACGTTTTTATAAAAGGACTTTATTGATTTATTGGAAGAATTGTCATCAAACTGAAGGCGAAATATGTGGTTTATGCAAGATGGTACACCACCACATTATAGAGAGAGGGCAGTGAGAACATACTTAAATACAACTTTCCTGAACGTTGGACTGTTCGTGGTAGTCATATTCCTTGGTCGTGTAGTGATATATTAATATAATTATTTAACTCAATAAAATCCCAAACGAATACTTTATTATTATATTATATTTATTATATATTATACTTATGACACTTATTATAAATACTGCAGCGGTTTCTTTAAAACCAATGATGCTATTTAATATAAGACGATCTTTTATGGAATCTATTAACAAATGAATTAAAGAAAATGGTGGACATATCGAACACTTACTTTGACAAAAGTTTTAATGTTATTTAGTTTAGCTATTTCTTAATATGGTTTATAAATAAAATATTTTGATGATGACTTTAATTTACTACAAAACGTAAAATGTTTAATGTAAAATCCAATTATTTTTTTATTTTGTCAAATCTTTCTATTAACTATCCTGCTGATATATTTATTTTACTTAATATTTCAATAACTATTAACTTTATTAAAGTCATTTTATACCAAAATTCAGAAGTATTGATGTTTTTGTCTAATTTTCTTTCGTTGCCTGGAGTAATTGCGTTAAATCAGAATTTTGTAGTTGATTTGTAAAATGCGATTATCTCAAAAACTATTGGGTTTTGATGTTATTACCAAGTATACTTATTTTCTGTTAAAATAATCTTTATTATTTTTTTATCACAAAACACCGGTACCTTAAATAGCAAAAAAAGTAAGTGTAAATATATGCCACATATGTGGCATATGTGACGCCCTCTATTAGCTACATTAAAATATGCATCAGATTATAATTCCTGATGTTCAGTAGTATTCAGTTATGAATTTTTATACACAAATGTTTACAAACATGAAAGTTATAGCGAAAATTAAAATTTTTAATTTCCACTTTAACACCCTGTATCTTTCTTAATACCAACATTTTATTAAAGCAAGTTGGCTTAGATCGTAATATTTTAAAGTGTAGAATCTACTGTTTCTTTTTGTAGAATTACTTAAGGACCACCCTGTATACAGCTGCCATTCTTTTCTTATTTTATGTATCTGCATCTACTTCTATGAAATGATGCATAGAAGAAATTAATATCACAGCTTTATTTTTCTTAATTGTACGTGATAAAGTGTTAGAACTGTGGAGAAATTTCTTTTCTATTTCTTCGCATTGTGCCAACGTAAGTGAGTTTATGTTGTTGTAGATGATGTACTAAATCAACTGAACTAAACCAGTTGTCGCCAGTGACATTTATATTAGTATTGTAAAGATGATTGACTAATCTTATAACTGCTTGAGTAGGTATGCTCATTATTCTTTCTTCATTTGTGAGGCTAAATCCATCTGAGCCTTTCTTAGCATAAATGTAAGCATTATGTAAATACCCAGTTCGTGCATGAGTTATACATAAAAATTTTATATCATATTTACAAAGTTTTCTAGGAATATACATTTTAAAGCGACATCTGCCTCTGAAGCCTACCAGCATTTCGTCTACACACACATTTTTCCTATCCGTATATGCATCTTTTGAATTGCTTCAATTCAAATCCGAATAAAATGAAGAAGGGCAGCAAATATTTGATTTGATTTGCTTCTTAAAAGGCAGAAAGTATTGATTTTTCACGTTGAGGACTCCTATGAATAGCTCTTCTGACGAGACCTATTAGGTCGAAATACGTATCAAGAGATACATAGGATTTCGCTAAGACATAGACAATTCGCTAAGGATTTCTGCTTAGTTGTAAAATACATGTCGTGGAATGCAAATTTTAGATTCCCCATGTCTCTTTTAACATCTTTTATCAACGTCTGTTTGCCTTGCAACTTTTAGAAGGCTCAGATTATAAAGCAGAAATCTGAATTGTGTTTCGAAACTATTTTACGATTGTTGTAATTAGATGTCGCTATTGCGTCCGTATTGAAGCCATGTTATTGTTGCTTCTTAAAAGGCAGAAAATATTGATTTTTCAGGTTGAGAACTCCTATGAATAGCTCTTCTGACGAGACCTATTAGGTCGAAATACGTATCAAGAGATACATAGGATTTGTTTGCGTGAAATCAAATATTTGCTGCCTTTCTTCATTTTATTCGGATTTACTCTGTGTGAGTACTAGAAGCACACTTGGCTAAGGATTTCTGCTTAGTTGTAAAATACATGTCGTGGAAAACAAATTTTAGATTCCCCATGACTCTTTTAACATCTTTTATCAACGTCTGTTTGCCTTGCAATTTTTAGAAGGCTCAGATTATAAAGCAGAAATCTGAATTGTGTTTCGAAACTATTTTACAACAAAATTTATTTTTAGTTTGTTTTAGTTCGGTATATTTAAAATTTTGGTAATATTTTCTCGATCGTTTTTACTCATATAGAGAAAGAAAAAAAATTATCTTTGTTAAATGTTTATTTTTTGTTTTAGGCGGCTGCTTACGACTTCGATGGTTTCTTAGGTAAGTATTTATTTTATTTCAAGTTAGGATTCTTTTGGTTTTTATCAATATCAAGTGAAGAATAGATATTAATATTATATTATTTGATATTTTTTAATATCATAAGTATTAAGTGTAAACAAAATTTGAGCATTATTATGTTTAATTTTTATAATGAGACAAAATCTAGTATGGATGCAGCAAAAGGATAATTAACTCTAATCTATGGATATGCTTTAAAATAATATGAGTTCAAAAAATGCATAGATCAGTCATCAATCGTATCCTATACAAATAAACAAAAAATCGAACTGTGACGTTTCTCAAAGGAATTATGATTTGAGGGTGAGTGTCGTCAGCTAGGCTAGAAAGATATGGGGTGGTGGAAGTCACAATTAACGCATTGAGTAATTTTGAAAAATAGTGTGAATATAGTGAAAAAAACCAAGACGAGACTTAGACAGTCTTGGTCTTGGTCTTACGTCAATACACCTGGTCTTACTCTTGGTCTTGGTATTGCATCCCCGGTCTTGCTATTGGTCTTGGTCTTGAAGCAAGAGTCTTGCAAGTCTTACAGTTACCCATTAGCCTATTGCTATTCATTAAACGTTACTTTAGATCTTAGAACAACGTAACAGAGCAAGTAAATTTTAAGCTTTAATTAACATAGCCATAATAAAAACCAACCAAATTTATAAATGCCTAAACAACTAACACCGGGTAGGGTTTGAAGCCACGATCTAAGCGATCCGTGCTTATGCTCTAACTAACTCAGCTATGCATACTCATGCCCCACGTAAGTCAATCTGTTTCTTAATAACGTTTGCATTTAATAAGATTACATGTGCTGAAACATGGTTAAAACACAAAAAAAAAACAAATTAACATATAATAACAAACCGAGAATTATATATCCGTACTTTGTTATTCTAAATATTTCGGTATTTTGTTTACACGGTAGGCAACATTATCTGTTATTAATAATTTGTCTTGATACTTTTTATTATCCCTAAATAATATAATATTATATAATTTAATATTAGCCGCGCTCTTTCAGCAAATTTTGTTTAACCGAATGATCTCATCGCACACTCAGCAGAAACCATGTTTAGTCTTAACCCGATAAGAATTGTTTATTTATATTCCTCCTAACAAAATTATAATGGAAAAAGAATTGAATTATTAAGTGGGTGTTCGTAAGGTAAAGGTAAAGGTTTTTAATAAATTTTCCTTTACCCGAACATTTAGTTGTTAGGGCTCGTACTTGCAGTAAACATCATCAGAAAAGAAAACCAGAATGAGACGAAAGCCTTATTCAAATAGTTCTTCATAAATTATCCCTATTATCTGCTTCTTGTTCAATTTTTAACAACTGTACACGAATAATTTTTGTACTAGACAAATAAACTTGATCAATATTATTGGCGCTTTATTTATGCTATTTTAATTTACTAAACTAAACTACATTTCTTTTTTTGCATTTGATAATTTTGCACTTGGGGTTTTAGGTTAAAATTTGCAAGGCAAATAAAAATACTTTAACGATGCGTTTTGAATGTCTTTACGACACTCAAAAGTATGTGAAAAATGCCTTAAGACTTACCATTTTAGCCCTTATTTTTAAAACATTTCCTCCAGACCCCCAGTATCCTCTCCAAAAAAGTTTATGCCTTCCCCGAAAATCAGTCCTGGATCCCCTCTGGTGCTGGGTTAAGTCTTTTCATGAAAAACTGTCAAACAATACTATATAAAAATGCAACGTCAGGTGACACGATTCATGCACGACTCCCATTAAATCCCCACCAAAAAAGTATCTCTAACTGAATTACCTGTAAAATGCAATGTTCATGTTTGGTATAGTTTTTTTCTTCTTCTTCTTCTTCTTTTTATATAGACATGACTCTGTCTGTTTTATAATGTGCCTCCAGTACGTTGTCATTCCATCGTTTTCGTGGTCTTCCTACTGATCGTCTTTCCATTGGGGAACCGTCTCTTGCCGTCTTTACTACTCTATTTGTTATCATTCGGCTTATATGATCGTTCCATTCTTCTCTTCTATTTCTTACCCAATTTTTGATGTTTTTCACCTTGCATCTATGTCGTATATCTGTACTTCTAGTTTTGTCCCATTGTGTCTTACCATCAATTTTTCTAGGTGATTTCATCTCTGCTGTTTCTAACATCCTTTTTGTCCGTTTTGTGCCAGGTCTTGTTTCTGCCGCGTATGTCATTATTGGTCTAATGACTGTTTTGTAAATTCTGCCTTTCGTTTTTTTTCCCGATATTTTTATTTCTCCATATTGTGTCATTTAGGCAGCCTGCGGCTCTGTTTGCTCTATTTACCTGATCTTCCACTTCGGTTTCGAGCTTTCCGTAGCTAGATAAGATGATGCCTAGATATTTTAAACTCCATCACTTGTTCTGTTATCTGACCTTCCAGCTCCAATTTACATCTTAGTAAAGTTGTTGTTGTAACCATGCATTTTGTCTTTGTTGGGGAAATTAACATGTTGAATTTTGACGGTTATATTAAATTGATGCAGCATACGTTGTAAATTATCTTCACTTTGAGAGAGTAGTATTGCGTCGTCTGCCTAGCAGATTATTTTAAGTTTTTCTCTCATTTGGTATCCTTTTTTTGTTCTTACTTTTTTTAATATTTCATCCATAATCAGGTTGAACAATAAAGGACTCAGGGAATCTCCCTGTCTTATCCCGTTTCCAGCATCAATAGGGTTGGTTAGTTCTTCTTCTATTTTTACTTTTATTGTGTTGTTTTGGTAGATATTTTCGATCGTTTTGATTATTCCTAGGGGTATTTCTCTTGCATACAGTAAGTGGATAACGTCTTTTAATTTGACATGGTCAAATGCCTTTGTAAGGCCCACGAAACATAGATATGCCAGATTGTTGTATTCTAATGATTTCCCTTGCACTAGTCTCATTATAAATATAATGGCGGTGCATGATCTTCCTGACCTAAAACCTTGTTGTTCTTCTGCTAGTATTATAATTTCATTTAATTTATTTTTTATCACTTTGGTTGTTAATTTTAGTGATGTGTTTAATAAATTAATTCCTCTGTAATTTTTCGAGTCCGATTTGTCTCCCTTTTTGAAGAGAGGTATTAGGATGCTTGATCTCCATTCTTGAGGAATTCTGTTTTATTCTGTTATTTTTAAATTAGTTTTAATAGTTGTTTGGTCAGATCTGGTCCTCCGTACTTTAGGAGTTCGTTCGGTATTCTGTCCTCACCTGGTAATTTTCTATTTTTTAATTTCCTTAATGCTTCCTTTACCTCTTCCTCCTCAACATTTATTTCTTAGTTTGTCGTCACCCCTGGTGTTGCTGGTTCATCATCAACACCTTTAGAAAACAGGAATCGAAAGTAGTCTACCCATGTTTCCTTCTGAATGTGTTTCTGAATTTTATTAGTTCGTTTATCTCTTTTCTTTATCCTCTGATCATTCTCCATCTTTCTTTTTGTGTTCCGTAGAAATCGTTTTCCATCTGTTTTGAGAAAGTCTGCCATTGTTCCTTTTTTATTTGTCTAACTAAAGTATTCGTTTCATTTCTGATTCGTTTATAGTGGTTGTATGCCTGTTGTATTCTGTATTGTAAAAAGGCTTTCTTCTTTTTTTCACTGTCTTCACTTCCTCTCTAAAACATGTTGTTTTCTTTTTTGATATGTTACTGTTCGTTACTTTCCTCTCTCCAAGTGATTCTGTTGCTGCGTTAATTATATTATTTTTGAGTTTTTCCCAGCTTTCCTCGATGTTATCGTTTTTTAATATTTCATTCCCAGCGATCTTCTCAAATATTGTTTTCCTGTATAAGTATTCCGTCGATTCCGTATTTAATCCTTCGACTTTGATTTTTGTTTGTGTTGGTGCTGCTCTCTTGGGTGGGAAGTATTTCAGGATAATTCTTATTTTATATAATACTAGGCTATGGTCGCTACCTACATCTGCTGAGTTGAGGCATCTTACGTCGATTATTTTTGATGGATGTATATCTCTGCTGGTTATAATATAATCTATCACAGATCTTTGTCCACGTGTGTTATTAAATGTATATTTGTGTTTGTCTTTGTGGTCAAAAAATGTGTTGTTTATTCTTAGTTCGTTATTCGTGCAGAAGTTGATCATCAGTTCTTCATTTTCGTTTTTAAAATTCTGTTTATGTTTTTGTTTGATGCCGGGTATTACTTGGTTGCATATTCCGACGTTAAAATCCCCCAATGTTATCATCTTTCTTCTGACTTGATCTACTATTTGTTGTAATTGGTCGTAAAACGCTTCCCTTGTTGTTTGAGGCTTATTATTTTCTGGACCGTATACTGCGATGATGTTCAGGTCTTTCTTCTACATTCTTATCTTTGTTGTTACTATTCTTTCTGATATGTATTGATACTTTTTAATTTGATTTTGGTACCTTTGGCGTATTAGCAAGGATACACCTTCTTTGGTCCTGTTTTCTTTTGCTACTCCACTGCAGATTAGTATGTATTCACCTAATTTTGATTGACCTTTTCCTTTCTTTTTTGCTTCATGTAGAGCACAAATGTCTATTTCTTTCTCTTTCAGCACTTGGGTATACTTTTAGTTTCATATTTTGTCGGATTTAGTTTTGTATTTCAGTTGAATATAAGCATAAAATTTAATTTTTATATTTGCCATCGAGTATATTCATGTAACATTGAAAAACAAATTGAAGTTTTTTTTTGTTTTCAATGACTTCGCAACCGTATGAGAATTAACATTTTCGGTTACGCAATTTAAGGATTAAACATTTTTTTGATGCAAGTATTTTCGTACTCCAGCATATCTACACATGTCTTCTTTTAGTTTTTAAATAATCTATAAATTTTCGAGATGAAATAATAAATACACATCACCTTTAAAATTTCAATTTTTAATCTACTGTTATTTGTTTTAAGATCAAAATGTATCTTGCTTATCTTCTTATCTTCATACTCAAGTGATGACAAACTTATTTATCCTACACCATAGCAATAAATT